GGGCAGGGCCCTGGAACATGGTTTTGACCTGGTAGGGAAGGGCAGTCAAGGAACACAGAGTGCGTGTTACCGTGGGGCAGGGTGGGGGCTTCGTGGGGGTGAGCTCTGAGGACTGTCCCTCTCCGAGCTCCTCAGAGTGCACCGCCCTGCACTCTGATATTTGAATACAAGACACCACTAAGACGACTGAAAAACATCAAAAATACCAAACTCAGAGAACCTGAGGCAAAGACGGTGCAGGGCACAAGGACGGGATGAGAGCAGAGGACAGCGGTCCCGGGTGCAGGTAAACCTGATGCACCGCCCCGGGGGGAGAACAGCTTTTTTTTTTTTTTTTTTTTTTTTTTTTTTTTTTTTTTTTTTTTTTTTAAGGTGGAATCTCACTCTGTCGCCCAGGAGAAAGTTTAATGGCAGGATCTCGGCTCACTGTAACCTCCGTCTCCTGGGTTCAAGCCGTTCTCCTGCCTCAGCCTCCCCAGTAGCTGGGATTACAGGCTCCCGCCCCCATATCTGGCTAATTTTTTGTTGTTATTATTTTGCAAGTCAAGATGGGGTTTCACCATGTTGGCCTGGCTAGTTTTGAATTCCTGACCTCAGGTGATCCACCCGCCTTGGCCTCCCAAAGTGCTGGGATTATAGGCTTGAGCCGTCAAGCCCAGGCGAGAACAGCCTTATGGATGCTGATGAGCAGTGAAGGAGGGATGGCTATGTGAGAGGCCGGAAGGACGTCGGATGAGATCAGGGATGGGGGCTTCACAGTTGATTTTCAGAGCTGGAGAAATTCCAGGTGCTGGCAGGAATTTGTGGGTGTCCAGTGGGTGAAACAGATTGTTGGAACGAAGATGGTTGAGGGTCGCTGTCATTCAAAGGTAAAAGTAGTGAGATATTGGGAGGGTGACCTGCCAGGTAATATCAGAGTGAACTCTTTTTCTAGGATTCTTAATGAATTATTTGACTTTCAGCAGCAAAGAAAAAAAAACCACACTTATTCAGAAAAGGGAACAAACAGTTTTTCTATCCCTTACATTCAGCTTTTTCCTGTAAGCAGAGTTCAGAAAATCAAACAGAGAAACAGAAAAAATAGCCTATGTGTTTTATTGTAAAATAAAATGTCACCCGGACTTTTCAGAAATGCAAGGAAGTGTTCACTGAAGACTGTTGAAATAGAAGTCGGTATGCTGCAATCGGGAAAGTCGTTGCCCTGCCGGCTCCTCAAGCCAAGGCAGGAGGATTTAAGCCCTGCGGGGAGCTGGGTGATAGCCCGGGACATCCCCAGGAGGGAAGTTGGCTGGTGTGATTGGACCATCTGTGTTTGCTAATCTGTGCTTGTTGGAGTTAGGCTTTCATCCTCCCACAGAGAGGAGGCTGCTTTCCCCTTGGGAAATTCCATTTACAGGGATGAGGCGTCTGACTTTCTCTTTTATTGTCCTACCACAGCATGGCTCAAGGTGGAAATCTCTTGTACATCAGTGAACACAGACTGCACGTGCTTTCCAGGGAACCGTTCTGGATCTCATCTGAGGCTGAGTGAGTTTCCCTGTTTGTTTGGAGACCCTCACACATCTGCCTGCATTCTCTGTTCCTAAAGTTTGCAGCTGTCATTGCCCACCCTGGACTGCAGTAGCAGAAGCCACACATGGTCCCAGTGTGCCTTTATCCACACAGAGGAGCAGGGATGCTCCATCCCCCTCTGCCCATTTCCCTTGAGTTGAGAGATGCTTCTCAGCAAATAGGCCCGAATTCTACTCCATCGTTCTCTGTTGCAACAGCACTTCCTCTTAATTCAGTGGAGATTGACCTCCTCTTGCATAGCTCTTGCCCTGATGCGATTCTCTCCATTGAACATGCTTTAAACATGCTTTAAAGGAGTTTAAACATTAAACTCCTTTGGTAAGTGTCTCCGTGTTTTAAGTATCTTTATGCTTACCCACACATTTTCTTATTGCCACTCCAAGCTGAAATAATCTTTTTCTTCTAAAGTCCTAATGCTTCATGAAATCACATTTTGCCCAAGTATTTTTTCTGTATTTTTGCCTTTAGTGTTTTTAATTTATTTCTTAAAAGTATGCTATCGCAGGAGCTAGGATTTAAGACAAGGACTGTCTTAAATCTGCAGTTGTAGGTTTATTCTAGACAGTTTTATAATAACAATGTGATGTTATATGTTATGTTAGATATGATTAATTAACTTATACTGAATTTCTTGATCCCCCATGATGTGTTAGGAACTCATGTATGCACTGTGGTACGATGAGCAAAACGTGGAGTTTTTCTTCTAGCATACAAAGGCAAATGTTCCCCATGAGACACGTGGGGAGTTCCCTGCATTGGTGCCTGGCTGCTCTTTGCCTGCGTGATGACTGTTGGCTCCTCTGTATTGTAATTCTTTATGACTTAAATGTATGCGGTTTGGGAGGCCAAGGCAGGAAGATTACTTGAGCCCAGGTGTTTGAGACCAGCCTAGGCAACATAGTGAGAACCTTGTCCCTACCAAAAATTTCTTAAAAAATTAGCTGGGTTTGGTGGCTCACACCTGTAGTCTCAGCTACTTGGGACGCTGGGGTGAGAGGATGTCTTGAGCCCAGGAACCCAGGAGTTTAAGCCTGCACTGAGCTGTGATCACAACACCTCACTTCAGCCCGGGCGACAGAGTGAGACCTTGTCTCAAATGAAATTTTAAAATCATGAAGAAGTAAAGTCTCATTTGGACACACCTGACTTTGTGGCTATAAAACAGCTGCAGTTTATATACCGTATAGCTGCAAGTCTGCAAAAAACTCCAGCATTCACTCCCAAAACCCAAGTCCGTGCATTTAGACGTTATTACCTAGACTTCGTTTATAAAGGCAGATGTTTAATTTTAAAACATGTCATGAGTGCTTTAACAACTAAACATCTCTAATATCCATTAGAGAGATTGAAACTTACAGCATGCTTAACTTCTTAATAAAATGTCTGTATTTAAAAACAAAACAAAACAAAAAACCAAACAAACAAAAGCAAACACAAATGTTACAGAGAGTCAGTGAAATACACAGAAGGTGAGGTGGTAACAATTCTTAAGTTAGAAATAAAGAGAACCAGAGGGATGGAGCTCACCAGGGGAACTTGTTGCAATTTAAAATGGAGAAATTGAGGAAGAACACAGTGATAAAGTGAAATTTTAGCTGAGACCCCAGAGCTGGGGAGCAGGCCAGGCAGAGTTGTTGGTGAAGGGTAGATGCCCTGAGATGGAGTCAGCCTGGCCCACGTGACAGTTTAGGAGGATGTATAGGGTTAGTTCATGACTGGAGCACTCTGAATCAGTGGTAGTCAACCAGAAACCAAAGAAGGCTGCAGAGGCTTCACACCCTGAATCCTATTGTGCCCGTCACTGTCACTGTCTAAACAAAGGGAAGAGCTGGGATCATTTCTCCGTCAGAGCCACTCTGTCGTCCCCGCTATCTGTATTGGGTTCCCCATATATGCAACATCTCAGTGGTGTGTGTGTGCCCCTGAGCTGCCCCTTGAGACAGGCAGAGCCTCAGTCTGGGGCTGAGACCTGCTTAGAATCTGCATGGGGTGGATGTGGGGAACACCTTCTCCCTCACCCTGGGCCCTAGGCATTTGTGGTTGGTGTTGGTGGTCACGGCAGTGTCTGGGCCATGAGATGTTCTTAGTGTGGAATGGTGAATAACCCACTCGAGACACCTTCCTTTCATTGAAGCCTGTAACCTCTCTGTCATTGTAACAGTGACCATCTGCTACAAGTAGCCATGGCTTGAATATAGTTTCCTTTCCAAATGTGTGTTTTAAATTCACCAACTGCAACTACCAGATCCAGAGTATATACGAGGGGCTCACCTTGGACTCCTCCCTGGGCTGTGTGGTCCTGTCCTGAAAGGCTGTTTCAGGACATGTTGGACAAGTGCTCAAGGGTCAGTGGGAATCAGGGTAGAAAAGGCAAGGAGAGACAGAAGGGAGGGTCATGTCACTCCAGCAAGATGTCAGCCTGGCCCTCAGGGACACTGGGTTAGGCAGTGACCCTGTCCTCTTGGAGGGGAGGAGGAAGACAGGCCCAGGAAGGTGCAGACCCCAGGTGTGCTGTGCCTGGTGGGGAGGCTGCAGGTGGAGGCGGGACAGCAGGGGGCGCTGTGGCCTCCCGGGCAAATGCTCTGAGCATCTCAGAGGGCGCTCCTGGTTCATTCCCTTTCCCCAGACCTGGTTTCCTGCTCACCCACTGATGTGCCAGATATTTGGGGTATCAGAGACTCAGCGCTCCTCAGCAGCGACAGGACCTGAAGGTTTCTGATGAAATGTTTTTTGTCTCATTACTTTTCTCATTACCCCTTTGAGGCTGTGTTTTCCAAGCAGAATCAGGTTCTTAGCAGCTAGGAGAGTGCAGGCTGCAGAGTGCGTGGAGCATTTGTGCATGTGCGTGTTCTAGGAGTGGAGACGACTTTATGGGTGTGGAATCCAGGTCTTAGTAGACGTGGCTGGAGGTGTGTTTAAGGAGACATCTCAGTGGGGGCTGCTTCACTTTCCGTTCCACACAACCCGTCTTCGCTCACCACCCGTTTCCCTCTTAAAGCTGCTTCAGTGGATCTCACGTAACCCGATGTCTTAAAAGGCAGATGTATAATCTGGGATTGTTTCAAGAATGATCTCCAATTCTTTAGCACAGAGGATGGTGGTTTTTCCTGAGAAGGAATGATTTTGTGACTGCATGAACTTTGAAGCTGACACCTGATTATTTGCCCAGCACATGGGAGTTCTTTGACAGTGGATCCAGAGAAAGTGAGGCCGAGTGAAAAGGCAGAGCAGTGGATGGGGAGACCGCTGTTGTCATCTGGACCTTCATTTCCATTTGGGTCTGAAGCCCAAATTCCTATTTGAAATTCCTAGAATTAGGAATTTTATTTTGTTCGAAAATTTGATTTAGGTTTCTGCTATGTGTATCCCAAGTATGTTGACATAGACACACATCACACATTAAAGAGGCATAAACACAGAGAGCTTGTTAGAAGGCGTTTATTTGGGATGAGGAAAGGAAACTGAGGACACGGTACAGGGGTAACAAGGATGTCTTCAACGCTCGAGGTAAATTGTGAGCTTATTTTCATCTGCACGCTCAGCGGCAGCAGAACCGATATCTTCTACGACCAAGGAAGCAGGTCCCAGATGGAAGTTGTCCGAAACGGCAGCGTCCTTGTCTGCAAACACAGGCTGAGCCTCTCCCTGAGTCTGGGGGAGATGTGCAGAGAGAATGAGAAATTGATCACTAAGGTCATCAGTGGGTGGTAAAGGGAATGTTGGGAAGTCACATGCTGCCTGATGGGTAACGTTGGCTGCATTAGGGCCAGTAGCACGAGCTACCTCCGTCAATAGGAATAAATACACTGAGCAGTGCTGGTCACACAGGATTCGATTCACTCCTCTTTTGCTCTCATTTCTGTGATTCTGCCCCATTACACACACAGCCGAACACACTCTTTGGCTTGGCTCTGCTTTTTAAAAACTGTTCTATAGATAGAGCAAAATAATTCTCCTTGTAATTAAGTCCACTTGTTTAGATCCAGAAAGAACTAGTCAGACTGTCTCTTCCTATCTTAAACCTACTGAATTTCACAGACGTATCCTGGAATCAAGTCTTTATTTTTTACTTTTGTTTTTTTCTAAAGTGAAAGCATTATTTAAAAAGCAAAGGAATAAAAGAATGACTGCTCGACAGGCAGAGCAACCTCAAGTCTGTTACACTTACTTGGCTCTCTATTCGATTTATAGATGAGAAAATCAGGGCCCAGAGCTGCTAAGTAAAGCCACCTCAGTGACATCCGCCACTGAGACTCGATTCCAGAGCCCGTTTCCTGTTTGTCCCTCTAGACTCTGCAGCTCTGCGTGCTGGCCTCTCTCACCTGAAAGCTGACGTGCGGCACCTTCCTCCCATACAAAGGAAACAGATGCTTCCTCAGCGTCTGCTCCAGGCTGCTCCTGGGCTGCGAGCTCGTCAGCTCCTTGCCTGGAGTGGCTCCGCCTGGGCCCGCAGGACCATCAGGAGTACGGTGGCAGCCAGGAGGGCGAGGGTCCTCATGGCCGGGGTGACCTGGAGGAGGGAGAGCAGGAGTGGATGTGTGGGGAGTGAGGAGTTAGCCTGGACTTATAGCTCTGCAAGGACAAGGCTCAGAGACAAGGAGCCTCGAACCTTCGGAGTGAGCAGAGGTGTGTGTTTCGTTGGAGATTGTGTGGGACCCACTGGTCTCCATGTCCCTCTTTTCCTCCTCTGCTCTCCCAGCTTTCAGTCTAGTGTGAATCTCTATGTGTAGTGTCTGTGCTGGGTTGGAGAAGATGGTGATAATCAGGATCCTGGCATCTTCTTCCTGTTTCTCACTTCATTAAATATGTACTTTTTAATATTCAAGCAAAGGATAACAGCAGTGCTTTTGTTCAGTAAGTTCAGGGAACAAATGTCTCATTTTCTGCACATGGCCCCACTACCCTCTGTAGGTCTAGACTCTGGCAGCAGGCATGAATTCCTATCAAGTGAAGAGCCGTTTGTTGCAGGCGTCAAAGGTATTACCACCCTCATGGAGTTACGGGGTGAGTAGCCTCCTGTAGGGGTCAGTGTGAAAAGGACAATGACCCCATCAGCGTATAGGTGAAATGAGCCCAGTGATATAGAGGTAAAAAGTTCATCTACAGCCAAAAGCTTCTTTCCAGCTCTATTGAGATATGAATAAGAATTAAATATGATATGTATCTACTGTATACTGCCTTATGATTTGATGGTTGTATACCTGTGGTCCTTTATCATATACTATATACACAAATCAACTCAAAATGTAACGACCTAAACATAGATGTGAAACCATAAAAATTCCAGGGGAACATACGAAGATAAAGCTTTGACACTGATGCAGGTAACCATTCCTTGGCTGTGACACCAAAGGCACAGGCAGTGAAAGGGAGAAGAGACAGATGGGGCTGCACTGAACGCTGAAGCATCTGCACGGCCAAAACAAACAAGCCACTGGATGAAAAGGCAACGCAGAAGACGAGAGAACATATGTGCAAACGGTAGTGAAGAAAGGGGTAGATATCCAAATAGTTAAGGAAGTCAGACAACTCAGCAGCAGAAAACAAATAACCTGATTGAAAAACAGGCCAAGGACCTGGAGAGGCTTCTCTCACAAGAGCAGAGTGTTCTAGGGAGCAGATTATTGCCTCTGTTGGACATGTCAAGTGGGACAGGTGTATTTAGAAGGAAATTCCTTGAGTTTCTCTATTAACTTAGCTGGTAGCCTGCGGCCCCCTGCAGCCACCAAAGGTTCAGACAGAAGTGCACAGCAGGGCATTCACCTGCTGGGTCCCTGTGGGGTGGCCTGAGGGTCACAGGTCTGATTGGGGGCACAGCTTCAGCGTGGAAACCTCAATGTGAAAGTTGAAGTTTTGTGTTACTTACAGATCCTCAAGCTAGGCAGAGTGACCAGAGAGGGCTGACAGCGGTCCGTTGTCCCAGGCCTCCGGTAGCAAGAGCAGCCGTGTACAAACAGCAGAGGACTCCCTATTTAAGGTTCATTTGGGATCAGGTGTCCTCATATCCGGGGGTTGTTCTGTTAAGTGCGTTATTAAATAACTCCGGTGGCAAGGGCAGTTGAGAAATTCAGTGGGAAGCTGGGCTCCAAACCGGAGTCCACAGAGGGACTGACCCCTCGTCTACCTTGGGGAGCCCTGGCCAGGCCCAGGCAGCGACCACCTATGGATTCTCCACGACTCCTAAGACATTGACCCTGTGATGCCTATGCTGGTAGCTGAGGCTGAACTACCTGGACCCAGGGAATGTTTAAAGCCACCAGGAAGGGCCAGCTGGCCTGTTAGAGTGTACACTCTGTAAAGACTAGGGAAAAAGCGCTAGCCTACACAGTGGGGAGGATTTGGGATTTTGTTCTCAGTCAGCCTCTGCAGGCCCTGGGGTCTAACCATAAAAACACACCAAAGCCATTCAGCCAAGCGGAGATGTGGTGAACACCTGGGTGAGGCTGGAGAGCGGGTCAGGTTTGTTGGACTCTCCTGAGTTGAGCACGTGAACGCAGCACATGGTTTCCTAGGGGGAACAGTTACCTCCTTCCTGGCAGTGAGATGCTTCAGGACTAAACAACTGTCTGTGAGTAAGAGTTAAAGTGTTTTCTGTAATCTTAACTAGGGATGAGGCGTCTCGTGTCTGATTAGGGGTGGTCGCTGTTCCAGAACAGTGGGGTCGGCTGTCACTCTGAGGAAGCAGTGAGTTCCTGACCTACAGCTGCCCAGGAATTTCACCATTTGAGGAAATGGGCACTGGTCTCATCCCAGCAGAGGCACAAATTACGGCTATTTGGTTAAGTGGGACCAGGAAATGGTTTTAGTTTCTAGGGCGTTAGTAGGTGCCCTGTAAGAAACCAGTGGATGTGAGTATAGAGGAAAAATGAGAAGGGGTGGTGTGTACGTGGGGAAGGTTCGAAGGTTGCGGGAACATCCAGTGACCTGCAGAAGTCAAACCTGGACCAGCCTCCTGCACACAGAACATTCCAATTCACAGACATTTTCTCAGTAACACATGAGAGAGCCATTACTGGGAGAGCCGGTTAGATTTGGCTGTGGTGCTGTTACACGTAAGTCTCAGAAGTCCGTATGTTTTCCCTAACTTGTAGGGCAGCCTCACGATCTGACCTAGGCCCTTTGGTTTCCTTGCTATTGGAGGTAGAGCTCATGGGGTCACACTGAAGGCCAGTGGTGATCTCAGCAAAATACCATTGCATTGGGTCATCTGCAGAGCACCCAACAGAGGCTGAGCTAAGGAAGGGGTATGGCAAGGGTCGGAGTATGTGCCGAAAAGCAGCACCGTGTGCTGAGGTGGGGAACACAGCAGTGAGGAGTAAGGAGTATCCTACAGCAGTGAGGAGAGGCTGGTTTGTTCCTGACCCCACAGTCAAGACGAGGGTCCTTGGTGTCTCCAATTCCAGCAAGGCCATTGCTTCCCTTGATGACTCCTTGGGCAGGGGCACTGTTGTCTGAAACAAATGACTGTTCCCATGGGGGTGGCCTTTCCGGGTGTCCACCCATGAAGGGAAGTGGGGGTCTGGGTATTCGCCTTACTGCTGCTGTCACACAGGCTGTCAGCCCTGTGGGTCTTCAGGCTTCAGAGGAAGCATTCAGTGAAAACTTGGGCTGTGTTTTCCTTCAGTGGTGTGGGATGTTTGCATCCACAACCCTTATACACCAGAGCACATGCACATCCATGAGCCCATGATCATTCTGCAAGCTGTCTCTGCACACGAGGCTCCAATGTGCAACTGCAGTCTGGGTTTGGGCTGCAGTGTTTTTAGCCAGTTTGAATTCACACCTGGGCATTCCTTGAGAGGGCCACCTATGGTCTTCGTGGTAGTCTTCTTCTTTTTCTTCTGTTTTATGTTAAGACAGAGTTTCACTCCTGTTGACCAGGCTGGAGTTCAGTGGCACAATCTAGACTCACTGCCACCTCTGCCTCCCAGATTCAAGCAATTCTCCTGACTCAGCTTTCCCAGTAACTAGGATTACGGGCTTGCACCACTGCACCAGGCTAATTCTGTATTTTTAGTAGAGATAGGGTTTCTCCATGTTGGTCAGGCTGGTATCAAACTCCTGACCCCAGGTGATCCACCTGCCTTGGCCTCCTAAAGTGCTGGGATTACAGGGTGAGCCACTGAGCCTGGCCCAGCTGCTGGACACATGCAGCTCACTTTCTGGAGCAGGGAGGCAAACGTTACAGAAAGCAGGTGAAATGTACAGAATGTCAGATGGTGTGAAATTCTACAGTTTAAAATGAGAGAAGAAGGGGATTGAGGTTTCCAGGGGGAAGTAGTTGCAATTTAAAATTGAAAAATCAGCATAGCCTTCAGTGGCAAAGGGAAGTTTTTGCAGAGACCCCAGGACCTGGGGTGCAAGGCAGGTGGAGTTCTGGGTGAGGTGCAGAAGCCGCATGACGGAGTCAGCCTGGCCCAGTGGACAGTTAGGAGCAATATGCAGAGTTACAGCAAGGAGCATGTGACTTCAAGTCAGTTGCAGTCACAGGAACCCAAGGAAGGTCACCTGGCCATCGTGCTCCCAATCTTAATATGTGTCCTGCCCTGTGTAAAGAAGAGGTAGAGCTGGGACCATTTGTCTGTCAGACATAGACCCATGTATCCTCCCTAAGATCTGTGTTGGGTTCCCCAGCTGTGCAATGTCTCAGTGGGATTCCTGGGCTGCCTCTTTGGACAGGCAGAGCCTCAGTCCCGGGCCAAGACCTGCTCAGAATCTGCCTGAGGTGGATGGGGGGAACACCTGCTCCTTCCTCCTGGGGTCTGGGCATTTGTGGTTGGTGTTGGTGGTCACAGAACTATCTGGGCCATAAGATGATTTAATCAAGAAAGGTGAATGATCCATTTGAAACCCTGTCTCTTTTTGAGAAGCCTGTAATCTCTCTGTCCCACTCAAACTCCTTGAGAAATTTTACCAGTGACCACCCGCTACGAGTAGCCATGGCTGGAATATAGTTCCTTTGTCTAACGTGTGTTTTGAATTCACCGGTTACAACTACCAGATCCAGAGTAAATACGAGGGGCTCACGCTGGACTCCTCCCCGGGCTGTGTGGTCCTGTCCTGAAAGGCCGTTTGCAGAACACGTTGGACAAGTGCTCAGGGTCAGTGGGAGTCAGAGGAGAAGAAAAAAGGGCAGACAGGAGGAAGGATCACATCACACCCCAGCAAGATATCGGCCTGACCCCCATGGATACCGGGGTAAGGCAGGGACCCTGTCCTCTTGGAGGGGAGGAGGAAGACAGGCCCAGGAAGGTGCAGACCCCAGGTGTGCTGTGCCTGGTGGGGAGGCTGCAGGTGGAGGCGGGACAGCAGGGGGCGCTGTGGCCTCCCGGGCAAATGCTCTGAGCATCTCAGAGGGCGCTCCTGGTTCATTCCCTTTCCCCAGACCTGGTTTCCTGCTCCCCCACTGATGTACCAGATATTTGGGGTATCAGAGCCTCAGCACTCAGCAGCAGCGACAGGAACTGAAGGTTTCTCATGAAATGTTTTTTTGTCTCTTTATTTTTCTCATTGCCCCTTTGAGGCTGTATTTTCCAAGCAGAATCAGGTTCTGAGCAGCTTTAAGGCAAACCAGGAGAGTGCAGGCTGCAGAGTGCGTGGAGCATTTGTGCATGTGCGTGTTCTAGGAGTGGAGACTATTTTATGAGTTTGGAATCCAGGTCGTAGTAGACGTGGCTGGAGGTGTGTTTAATGAGACCTCTCAGTGGGGGCTGCTTTGCTTTCCTTTCCACGCAACCCGTCTTCGCTCACCACCCGTTTCCCTCTTAAAGCTGCTTCAGTGGATCTCATGTAACCCGATGTCTTAAAAGGCAAATGTATAATCTGGGATTGTTTAAAGAATGATCTCCAATTCTTTAGCACAGAGGATGGTGGTTTTTACTGATGAAGGAATGATTTTGTGGCTGCATGAACTTTACAGTGACACTGATTATTTGCCCAGCACATGGGAGTTCTTTGACAGCGGATCCAGAGAAAGTGAGGCCGAGTGAAAAGGCAGAGCAGTGGATGGGGAGACTGGTGTTGTCATCTGGACCTTCGTTTCAGTTTGGGTCTCAAGTTCAAATTCCTGTCTGAAATTCCTAGAATTAGGAATTTTATTTTGTTCGAAAATTTGATTTAGGTTTCTGCTACGTGTATCCCAAGTATGTTGACACAGACACACATCACCCATTAAAGAGGCGTAAACACAGAGAGCTTGTTAGAAAGCATTTATTTGGGATGAGGAAAGGAAACTGAGGACAGGGTAACAAGGAGTAACAGGGGTAACAAGGATGTCTTTAACTCACAAAGTAAACTGTGAGCTTCTTTTTATGTGCAAGCTCAGCGGCAGCATCTTATACCAAATACGCAGAACCCAAATGGACGTTCTCCGGAATGGCAGGGTCCTACTCTGCAAATGCAGCGTAAGCGTCTTCCTGAGCCTGCGGAGGCACAGAGAGAATGAGAAATTGATCACCAAGGGCAGCAGTGGGGGGTAAAGGGAATGTTGGGAAGTCACATGCTGGCTGATGGGTAACGTTGGCTGCATTGGGGCCAGTAGCACGAGCAACCTCCGTCAATAGGAATAAATACACACAGCAGTGCTGGTCACACAGGATTCGATTCACTCCTCTTTTGCTCTCCGTTCTGGGCTTCTGCCCCATTACACACACAGTTGAACACACTCTTTGGCTTGGCTCTGCGTTTTCAAAACTGTTCTATAGATACAGCACACTATTCTCCTCACAATTAAGTCCACTTGTTTAGATCCAGAAAGAACTAGTCAGACTGTCTCTTCCTATCTTAAACCTACTGAATTTCACAGACGTATCCTGGAATCAAGTCCTTATTTTCTACTTTTGTTTTCTTCTAAAGTGAAAGCATTATTTAAAAAGCAAAGGAATAAAAGAATGACTGCTCGACAGGCAGAGCAACCTCAAGTCTGTTACACTTACTTGG